AAAATTCATCACAAGTTCATATGAGGCCACCAACCCAACCAATCACACTCGACATATACACTGAAAAAAATGTGTCATTCATCCAATTAAAAAATGTAGGCCTCATTTAGGCCCTCAGGCCTAGGCCCTCAATTTAAAAAATATAGATGTGAATCATTACCCTACATTTTTTGATTTGGATGAATGAAACATTTTTTTCAGTGTACTGCCACCCAAATAAAAAGCATCCAATCAAATGCACAACTAATAGCTCACGCGGGGTGGAGTGAAAGCTGTTTCATGACTTTTATTAGCACTTGTTTGGGCATTTAGAGCTTATTTTGTTGTTTGTCACATACTTAAAATATCATACAATCGGTTTCTGTTTTTTTCTCTTATAGCTGTAAACAATACCTCAAACACTTAGAACAAACACAGTAGTATCTCATCAGGACAGACATCCACCGGCTAAAAAGGAGTGAATCAAAACATAAAATGGTTGATAAAATGGAGAACAACACATCCACACTGACTTTATAGAAACATTCTCTTCATGAATGTAGTATGAAGCAACCAATCGAGCTGACAAATCTGAAAGAGTTAGAGATATTTATTGAGCTATTGACCTGCATGACCCAAGGCAGAGTTGGAATTTATGTGTGGGGGTTCAAAAGCATTCCTACTCTTGGCCAGACCCCCATTCACCACTCAGATAAAACATGGCATGAATAAATGCACTTAAGAAGACTGTGATTAACTATAGATTACATAATAATACAATTTGCTATCTTTTTTCCCAACGGGACAGTTATACCATCTGTTTTCTTCTACCAGTAATACATTTCTGTATTAGAGCCCTGTTTTCCGGTTCAAATTCTGTTCAGGTCACCTTATTCTTGTCTTCTTGCTATTATGTTTTGCCTGGGTAAGCAAGACTGAAAACATCTGTGTCTTAAGAATAGAAAAGAGAGAAGTGGTGCAAGCCTTCGAGACAGACGAAAGAAATGCTCAGAAGGGTTTATAATGTGAGATTAAGGTGAAAACGTAAATTTAGATGAGGAATATACACACACACATTTCGGAAATTCTTGTACTTAAGCCAAGAAGAGATAATGACAGCAGCAGTAATTCTTTTCTTTAATCTCTTTAGGCTGAGAAGGTCACGTTGGCCTTCAGAGAGACAACAC